CAAACAGCATCCGCGAGGGAGAAGGTGTGCATTGCCTGGATGGATAGTTGGAGTGTGTTCTGCACTTGATCTGGAAGAAGGATGAGGTGGCACCAGGGACAGGGTCCCACTGCCTCCACTGCTCTCCCACTGCTCTCCTCATTGCATGTACTATTAGATGACTTTCTCGAGGAAGCCTCTATCAGTTTCCCGCAGGGTTTGGCTGAGGGTTTCACATATCTGATTGAGACAGCTGAGGTCTGGAGTATCAGGATCCTGCCACCAAACCAGAGTCTTCCCTGTCTGCTCAGATTCCTGGGCCTGAAACTTCCTTGCGAATTCTGCATGGTTGCATCATGTCTGTTTTTCGCTTAGCATCCACCCAGGAGTATTCCAAAGGAAGCAACACAGAGGATTCCTACCCAAGATGAACCTGCAGAAAAGTCAGAAGCTTCTTCAGCTCGTGTCACCTATAGCAGCTCTATCAGACGAAGCAGCCCAAGAACTGTCTCATTCCGGGTAAGAGCTAAAGCAAGTGGAAAAGATTCCCGTAATGTCAGAGAAGGCAATGTCTTCAGCTCTTAACATCAAGGAAGTGCTGCTTAGATCTCTAGGCAATGTTGGCAGGGCTTGTTCCCAAAAGTGAGTTAACACTCCATCCCGGATCTGGACACTGCAGCTCTCCTTCAGTCTTTCTCCTGTTTCCCTCTTCTTGTCTGACTCAAATAACTGTGTCTGTGAACAAGCTCATGTTCATATACCTTGTGCTGCCATGGAAGCTTGTGGGAAATGCTGAAAGAACAGAACTCTCTTGTCCTTGAGACTTCCCAAAGAATCACAAGAACCATCATCCACCCTCTGGCATTTCTATCTTCTCTGAGAAAGCAGGATCAAAATAAAATCGATCTTCCCTCCTCTTCCTTGTTACATTCTTGGGAATTTCTTCAATTCTAATCAAGCCAAAGGTCTCTGGAATTAACTACTTAGAGAGGCTGGAAAGAGCAATAGTGTTGTTGAGGTCCTCTCTTTTATAGCTTAACAAATTTTATAGTATTTTGGGGGACATAAAAGAGCATTGCAAAATACCTTCAGTCTGGACATCTTTAATGTGAGATTTTTCTCTAGATGAAAACTGAGCTTGCCTGGAGATAGGAGATCTGACCCACTTTCTCCCACGTTTTTTTTCTGTGACAAAGAACTGCTTCTGTATCTCTGTTTTTCTCTGTCTTGCAGGTGATCTCAAGAAAAGAGAGAGAAGAAAATCAGAGCCCTCTCACAAGGAGGTCAGCAGCTCTGTTTACATTGCTCAGGCTTTGCTGGGCAGGGATTGTCATCCCCAGTTTTCAAAGGGAGGAGGAGGGAACAGGACCTGGCACCGTTCTAGTGAAAGCCCTAGAGAAGCTCTGCTGGACATTGGTCCCCATGGTGCCCGGATGACCAGGCAATAATGCTGAGAGCACAGACCAATGACCACCATAAAGACTGCAGCCATAGAGGATCCTCCAGCTTGTCCCCAAGGTCTCTTGGTTGATGTAGCTTCGGTGGTGGCAGCTGCACTGTTAGGAGCAGTGGAGTATTGAGAGCAGTGCAGTGCCATCCTTGCATATATTTGAAAGTCAGCTTTAAAGGCCCAGAGGAACCTGGTCTGGCTTTGGAATGGGCCATGCCTGGAGCAGGTTGGACCAGAGACCTTTGGAGGCTGCTTCCAGCCTAAACCCTTTTTGATCAAGTGATCCTCCACATCTCTGTGGCAGAGTTTGGACTGCTGAGTTAGAACCTTTTGAGGAACTGAGGGCTCAGGTCTGAATGCTGTGAGTAGGATGCTCTCTCCCACCTTTGTGCAGCAGGTGAGCAAGGCTTTGCTGGCTATGGGCAGAGCTTTCCTGACCTCTGTGTGATTGAAGACATAGTTCAGACCTGGCTGTGATGACAAATAGGTAAACTGAGGAGCTAAACGCAGTTTTGCAGAGTACAGAGTGGGTCCTAGCAAGGTGGTGAAACCCAGATATCTCTGTCACTGGCAGGGAAGGAGCTGCCTTGGTTTACTTGGGAACCTGGGTTGGACTAGGTTTCCTCCTGGCAAGCTGAGTCCCCCAGGACCATGGGCTGCATCACAGACCTTGGGGTCTGTATTTAACTCTCTCCTGTCCTTTTATTTTATTTTTTTTAGTGTGAGTCTGAGAATCCCAGGAAACAGCACCACTATTGAAGAGAAACTGGAAAAGTACAACTCAGCCGTGCAGGTATCGAAAACTCTCCTTAGAGCTGGACCAACATGGGAGAGATGCATAAGGAGGGGGAAAGAGGTTGTCCAGAGCTGAAAGGGTAATAAGAGAGCTGGGGGCTGCGCTGAGACAAAGAACCAGATGGGGCTGAGCAAAACTGTCCCAGTCAAAAATAAAGAAATAAATAAAAAGATTGGCCTCAGGGTTTTAGGAGCAGGAGGCAGACATCACTTGAAGAGGGTAGTGAGGTCAGTGCATGGTCCTATTGTGAGGAGCAGTGGGGCAAAGCCATGAATATGTGGATGTGCAGGGAGGAGGACTTTGTTTTTTGATGCAGTATGATGCTCCCCAGGGCAGACTGTCTGGGTGCAGCACAACTCCTGCTCACACCCGTCTCTCCTCCTAGCGATCAGAGTTGGCAAAATCATCTCTAACCGTTCAGAAAAACCTCACGCTGTCCTCAGAAGGGGTGGCCAGCAAGCGCAACTTCTTTGAGATGACTGCTCCTACCAAAGCGGAGCCCCTTGCTGTCAGGAAGGTAAGACCAGGAGTCAGGACTTTCCTGCATGTCCTTTCCACAACAGGGTCCTATGTCATGGCAAGCACCCCCTGTTTGGATACCCAATGCACAGTCCAGTGGGCTGCCCCAATGCAGCCAGGGATGGGAGTTGGGACATTTTGCACAGTGCTGGGGAGGGCTGGCCTAGGGCACGGCCACTGAAACGGCATTTTGGCAGTGTGTGGGTTAGTGCCAATGCACTGGCATTTGAAAAGCTGGGATGTAGCCAAGGTGTAGGCTGGTTTCTGCCTGTTGCAGTTTTGCTTAGACTCCCTGTGTCCTGGACACTGCCTTGGGCTGTGTTCGTGCAACCAGAGACCTGGTGCTGTAACCCTGGTTCCTCTCTGTGCCACAGGACAACCTGAAGATCCAGGGATCGGTGACATCCCGCATTGATCTGTGGATCAGCCGAGCACAGGAGCCCAGCAAGGAGGAAAAGAGCAAGGTACCAGCTTGTGCTGACATCCTGGGGAAGAGCCCTGGTAGGGACAGGTCCCTGGGAGCAGCAGGGACAGCCCAGACCTGGTGAGAATGAGCAGTCACACTCATTAAAAGGTTTGAGGGAGCTTTGCCAGGGTTGCAGCCTTCTCCGTAGGACAGGTTCTGCCTGTTGTTCAGCTGGTTCAGGTGTTTCAGGACCACCGTGGGGAGATGCCAGGGCTCTGCTTGTTGCTGTGCTCTGATCTTGACCCAGAAGCCTTCGAGGTAGCTGCCGCAGCCCTTGGTAGGATAAGGAGGGAGCATGCCCTGATCCAGGCACCATCTGTGTTCATCTCCCAGAGCATGAGGAAGCCTCCCTGTGCAGATTCTGGCCCCCCAAAGTAGGGTGTTCAGCATCAGAGGATGCAAAATGCTCAGCTGAGAGGAGTCAGTGCTGCTAGTGCTGTTCCAGGCACATGGACTCCAAGCATGAATCAGGCAGGAGACTTTTTGAACTCCAGGTAATTTTCTGTGCTTGGAAAGGAGAGATCCAGCATGGACTCCAGCCCTTGTAGAGCTGGGCAGAGGTCACCCCTTACAAGGATACGCTGGTTTTTTGCCACCGTTTGTAGCACAGAGTGTCCTGCCTGGGTACAGATTCCAGGATGGGCAGCTCCATCCCAGCCTTGCAACTGAAGAAGGCAAGTCCAGGCACCCCCAGTGCGGAAATGCAGGGATCAGAGCTGCCCAAACGTGTCTGTACGAGGAGGCTGTGTTAGCTCTGTGTCTGCTAGGAAATGCTTCACTCGCAGAGTCACTCCAGGGTGAAGCCTGCACCTCCCTTACGGGTTCTTCCTACAGCACTGATCTGCCACCATCCGTGTCTAGGAGTTGGAGCTGTGCTTTGATTTTGAGGAAACAGATCTACCAGGGGCAGGAGCTCAAGGCTCATTGATTTATCAGGAGCACATATGCTGCAGAGGTCTGGTTCAGGTCACGCCAAGGCAATCCTGCATGATACATGGAAAATAAAAACCACTTGTGCCACTTATGATTCTCCTATTTGCAGGACATCAGGAGAGTAAACAGCCTGATTAAGCGTGACGTCTGGGTAAAGCAGCCCAGAGACTCCTCTGGGGACACCAAGGTACGTGTGAAGCTGCTCTGAGAACTGGTGCATGGGACAGTCAGTAGGAGGGGGAGCAACTGGGGGCAGACATAAGGGCGAAACGTGTCTGATCTGGGAGAGGAAGAGAAATGGGACATGTTGTAATTCAAGTGATCAGTCACTCTCGTTTGGGGCATATACAGTCCTGGTTAAAGCAGCTGCCTCTGGAGACTGCAGCTTCAGACCCAAACTCACTGATTTTTTTTTTTTTGTTTTGTTTTTGGTTTCTTTTCCAGCTGTAACAGTATGAGATGATCTGGGAAAAGATGATCTTTTGCTCTGAAGAACAAAACCCGGCCATACCCATCACCCAGCAGCCCACTGCCACGAGAGTCCCCTGCACGCCATGTGGGGTGGATCCCAGGGGTGGCCAGGGGTCCCCTGCTTGTGGGCTGGGAAGGAAGGCTGGAAGGCTATTCCTGTGCCTCCAGGCTTCCCCCGCTGCCTGTCTGTGAATATCCAGGCCTTGAGGCCCTTTGCAGATGCTGAAGGCAGAGTCCAGCCCTGTCTCCCCACAATACTCCGGTGTTTTGCTCCTGGAATGTGCCCCATAACTGTGCTTGCAAAGGGTGAACTAACACGTCCCTTGCAGCAAGGTCGTGGTGGTGGGTGAGAGGCTGCCTGGCCAGGGCAGTTGTAGCTGCAGACCATGTTGTCCCTGTCTGGTGGCAGCCTCATGTGGGGTGAAGGTGGGGGACCAGGCAGATGAAACCTTTCTCCCGGGCTGTGACTGCTGGAGGAGACGCAGCCACAGATGAAAGCTGCTTGTAAAGGCTTAATTTGAA